GTGGGTGGATGGATGGATGGATGGGTGGGTGGGTGGATGGATGGCTGGGTTGCTGAAGGACACAAGTTGATGATGGGTTTTTGTTTGTTTTTGTTTTTGTTTTTTGGTCTTTTTAAGCCAGGGTCTCCCTGTAGCCCCAGCTGGCCTGAAACTCACTATGTGACCAGGCTGGCCTTGAACTCACAGAGATCCGCCTGCCTCTGCCTCCCGAGTGCTGAGATTAAAGGCCTGCACCACCACTGCCCAGCTAGGATGATGGTTTTTTTGAATGGCTGAAGAGCAGATAGTTGGGTTCATGGTAGTGTGCAAGAGAGGCAGACCAGAGACAGTGTTGAGGGATGGAAGGATAGACAAGAGCTCAGTGTTCACAAGAGTCACAGCATTACAGGGCGTCTGAGCCACGACCTCTAATCTAGACCAGGTCCGTGGCCTCTGCAGATGCTGTCCACATGTCCACCCTCACTGACATCTGCCTGTCTGAAGGGGACTGGAGGGCAGGTCTGTACTGCAAGGGGTGGGTATTCCTGGATGCCTTCCTGCTTCCCGGTCCCTGACATGAGCTCTCAGGTCATCCACCCACCCACCCACCCATCCATCCATCCACGGGCCTCAGTTTGCTGGTCTGTACATGGCCTTGGGTGGAGACAGTGGGTCCTACAACTGACTGGCTCATGGCTTATCTAAAGTCCATCTGATCTGGAACAGGGTCACATGGCGGAGGTAGTGGGGCTGGGAGGAAGCACACAGCAGGTGGGGGCCAGCTGGGCAGAAGCCCAGGGCACAGCAGACCCACAGGGCCCCGGAGGAGACTCACACTGTAATTGGCGCAGATGGGGTTGAAGGCGTTGGAGCCACACACGAAGAGCGTGGACTCGTCTCGAAGCAGCAGCACCTTTATGAAGTTGCGACACTCGGCCTGGTGTGGGGAAGAGAGGGGGAAGAAGCTGTTGGGGGCGTGGCCTGGTTGGCGGGGGGGCGTGGCTAGCATGGAGCTGGAGCCAGGTCAGATCTAGGGCTTTGAGAGCAAGAAGGGGCCGTAGATGAGGGCGGAGTCTTAACCTAGGGGTGTCAGGGTCACAGTGGACTCAGTGGAGGCCAAGATGAGACGGTACTTGGTATCAGCCGCATAAGCCCAGCTGGTTTGGGGGGCGTGGCCAGGACAGAGGTCCGGGTGGCTAGACTCCGGCCGTAACCATGGCAACACGGCTCCTAGTGACCGGAGAGTATGAGCAACCACCCTGGGCGTGGTCAGAGTAGATTGGGCGGGGCCAGGAGGATAGCGGCTCTGGTCCAGGCTTGGGTGACCTCAGGGCCCCTCACCTCTTGTTTGCCCTTCATCCGACAGACATCAATGTCACTGGGGTTGGAGCGCCAGGTCAGCTTCTGCCGGCACAGAGAAAACCGGTGAGGAGGGTGGGGTCCCCAACAACCTTCAGCCCTCCCCCCAGGGCCGAATCCTCCTGGCAGCCCCATCTCCTCCTGGCGGCGGCGGGTACGACACCCTTCCTCACCCGCTGGTACCGCAGCTCGGTGGACGAGGGTGGTTCCAGCTCCACCCGGTACAGGTTGTCCCTGCAGGAAGGACACAGTCTATGAGATTGGGGGGGGACGCCCACCATCCCTTCCTCCATTCGGTTCCCCCCACTACAAACAAGATATCCACCAAGCACGCACACCCTTCCTGACTGTTCCTGTGGGTTCTGCGTCCAGTGTCTACCCCAAACCCACGCGTTTCTCAACCTTTACTAGTTTTCTACCTGGTAAGGAAGCTAAAAGGACAACATGGACCCTTTCAGGCCCGGGCTCTGAGACCTCAGCGGGGACTCCTGCTTTTGTAAAATAGCCACCAGAGGGCGCCAGTCAGCACTGAGCAGCTCCCTCGCTTCTCTGCCCACCGCAAGCCTTAGCTCCCACTTTCTTTGGAGTCAAAGCCCAAGACCTCCTTGCAGCACACAGGGCCCTACCTCATCCCCTCTCTCCTCTCTCTCTGCCCCTCGCTCCCTTTGCTCCAGACACATAGGCCTCCTCACTCTCCTCCAACACCCCAGGCTCTGTTCAGCCCCAGGACCTTTGCACAGCTGTGTCCTCTATCCCAGGGCCTTTGCACAGCTCTTTTTTAATCCCTTGACATACCCTGCCCCGCATTTAGAGCTGAAGTCAAATGTGACCTCTTCACAGAAGCCCTGAACGCCCATAGCACCTTTCCCAGTTCATAATGCCGTACTCACATGCATACCTATTCCCTGGACAATTACATGCTTCCTCTTTTGCAAACCCCTCCAGAACCCTGGCCAGGTACCCAGGCACTGTCTCCATGTAATTGTAGAGGCAAGTGAACTCTAGGCACTAAACATGAAACATCTAGCACCCAGAACCCTTAAAACTCAGCACCTTTAAAACAACATTCAGTACTTTTTAAACCCAGCATCTAGCCCCACATGATTGCGAACACATTTAACCCCAGCACTGGGAAGGCAGAGGCAGGCAGACATCTGTGAGATCCAAGCCACCCTGGTCTACATAGAGAGTTCCATGTCAGCTGGGGCTACAGGGAGACCCTGTCTCAAAAAGACCTCCCAAAACCTCAACAACAACAAAACTCAGTATTCGGGACCCTTAAAACTCAACATTCAGCACCCTTGAAAGTCAGTGTTCAGCATCAGAGGCTCACACATTAGCATTCTAGCCAAGCAACAGGCCCCTCATGGAAACCCAAATATACTGCCCCAGGCCCCCCATGCCTCCATACCTTCCCCAAGCCCCCCGATTCCTCCGTACCTGCCCCCGATGAACAGTGTTCTGTTGACTCTCAGCACTCGCTGGATGTTAAGGCCTTCAGCGCCCTCCACAGGGGCCAGACGACCAGGTCCGCTGCCCACGAACACAGGGTAGTGACTCAAGTCTGGGCGGGGGAGGGAGAAGGATGGGCCAAGGTGGAGGAGAAGAGGGGTTTGGGGAGGTCATCCTCCTTAAGGGGACAGCAGACCCAGCCCTTCTGAACACCCCAGACTTACAGTCGCTGGGGGCCACGCTGAGTGGTGGTGGTTCTTCGGGAAACAAGCCATAGGAGCCCCCCAGAAGCAGCAGGAGTAGCAGCGGGGTCTGCATGGTGAGGACAGGGTGGCCCCGGTGACACCTGTCAATCAGAACCGGCCTGTGAACAACGCCGCCTGCAGTTCCTCCGGCAGCCGGCAGAGGGGGCGAGAGCACCGCACCAGCTCCCTCCACCCACTAAAAATAACTCTAATATAATACCAATAAGAAAAACGCCACCCCGAGCTTATTTAATTAACAGAACGACTTTACGACCACGTGTGAGTAGGAAAAAACCTCAGGAAATAATTTCAAACGAAAATGCATTCGGTAATTAAAAATTAATCACAATAATTACAATAATACATATTACATCTTAAAACAGACACTTGGAAATTCAGTCTCAAAATGCATTTCTTTTTAAATTCTTAAAACTAAAACATGAAGAAGCCGGGTGTGGGAGTGCACACCTTTAATCCCAGCACTTGGGAGGCAGAATCAGGCGATCTCTGTGAGTTCAAGGCAAGCCTGGTCTACATAGTGAGTTCCAGGCCAGCTGGGGCTACAGGGAGACCCTGTCTCAAAAAGACCAAAAAAGAAAAAAAAATTTAAACATGAAAAACCTTAGCTAGGCATTATGGCATAAGCCTGTGATCCCAGCACTGGAGGAAACTGAGGCAGAAGGACCACAATTTCCAGGCTGGCCTGGGCTATACAGTGAGACCCTGGACTACAAAGCAAGTTCTAGGTCAGCCTGTTCTACATAGTGAGAATATTTTTCAAAATCAAACAAACAAACAAATGATAAAAAAAAACAAAAACCTTAGCCAGGAATCATGGTACAAAGCCTGTCAACCCAACACTGGGGAGACTGGGCTAGGAGGACCACAGGTTTTAGGCTCGCCTGGGATACGTTACAAGACCCCGTCTTAAAGCAAAAACAAGAAAGAAAGAAAGAAAGAAAGAAAGAAAGAAAGAAAGAAAGAAAGAAAGAAAGAAAGAAAGAAAGAAAGAGAAAGAAGGAAGGAAGAAAGAAAGAAAGAAAGAAAGAAAGAAAGGAAGAAAGAGAAAGAAAGAAAAAGAAAGAGAGAAGGAAGGAAAGAAAGAGAAAGAGAAAGAAAGAGAAAGAAGGAAAGATGACACAATTTTAAACTCAAAGGCTGAACAAAGCAAAAAAAAAAAAAAATCCAAAGCCCTCAGCATTTTATAAAGCACAATTTAAGCAATGTCAGAATGGAGAGTTGTGGAATATTCTGGCACTCAGGACCCTCGGTGGCCCTGGCAGGCCTGACTTCTGGTCTGAGGCCCGTTTTCTCGCCTGGTCTCCCCTGTGACAGGCAGCTCACTGCCAGCAGACACCCGGCTTCCAGCTTCCATTCACAATGCCCAAAGAATCTTCTGGAAGTGTAGCCCTCCACATCTGGGCACTACAGGTCAGGGCAGCGCCCCATCAGAAGAGGGTAGGCCAGGCCCGGGACCCACCTCGCCAGCCTTCCGTCTCTACCAGGCTCTGGGTCTCAGTTTCCCGGGTCAGTCAGCAGAGATGATTCTCGACCCTTCCCTGGCCTTGTGTTTTGGGGATCCTGAGCCCCAGCAGGTGGGGGTGATGGAGAAACATGGGCCCTACAACCCCGGCCTCTATCGTTCACAGCCAAAAAACAGGAAGACGGTATGTGAAGCAACGCGGCTTCCTCTGCCTGACCCAAGCTTCCAGGATTCGTGACTCAGAGGATGCCGGATCCGCGTGTGTCCTTGGCCCAGACCCAATTCCACAAACACTTCCAGCTCCTCCGGCCCCAAGCCTCAGGGGGCCAATGACCCCCGAGGGTGACCCTGAACACCAAATCTAACCAAAGCTCCTTCGCTTGCCCAGTCCCTCCCTGGGGGACTCTAGGCTGTCACTCTACCCTGAGTCACACCTTCAACCCGTCACTGGGGGACTCCAGGTAGGGGCTCTCCCCTGAGCCCTGAATCATTTTCTTTTTATGGGGTTCTCTTCCACATGGTCCCCAGACCCTGAGTCACTTCCAGACCCTCCTTGGTATCCCCTGGCTTTCCTGCCCACAGCCTCGGCTCACCATCCAACTGGTTCTCTAAATCCTTCTATTTCGGAGGGTAACCCCAAATATACAACCCCTTTGCCTCACTGGTCTCAGTGGCCTTCTGTGTCCCCAACATAGGCACTCCCAGCATGCCCTGTCCCCCCACATTGTGCAGGAACAGCCTGGCTCCGCAGGGTTGCTTCACGGCTGGTAATAAATTTCAGGGTCAACTCCTATGTTCTCAAACAAATACAACCCAAGCCTGTGGGATCTTCTCCAGATAGTGTCACATGAACAGACCTCAGCCAGGGCCACCACATCATACCAGGAACCCTCCACTCTCCTCCCCACACAGGTCCCTCAACCAGACACCAGTGAGTACTGAGACTGTCAGCCCAGCTTTCAGAATTGTTTCCCCACACAGTGCAGGCTGACAAGCAAAACATTTGCCAGGTACCAGGACAGCAGCTCCTCCTTCTGCACGTAGTCCTCTATGGCCCCTCCTCCCTCAAGTCCTTCTGCTCCTGGGCCTTTACACAGCCCTGTCCTCCTGCCCTAGGACCTTTGCACAGCTGCATCCTCTGTTCTTCCTCTGAACACATATAATTCACAGGGCTGGGCCCACAGTAAGTCTCAGGGCTATTGGCCTCATACACTTTCCCTCAACCAATATATTCACACATGTGGTGCCCGTCAAACCTGGTCTACCCCACTGAGCTAAGGAAGACCCCATAAAGGCAGGGCTGGGCATATCTGGTCAACAGCTTTCTCCTATGGTCAAGCATACCCTTGGTGTTCAATAATTGCTTGTTGTATGGTAATAGACTAGCACTGAGACTTGAACTCCACCCTCATTTTCCCCAGTTCTCTGTCAAGTGTGAGTGTGTCCACTCTGCGGGAAGCTGTCTCTGCCTGTCACCCACTCCATGCCAGAATCCTGTGATCACTATGTGTCCAGACGTTGCAAGTAGCCCCCCCAGAACCCTCCCCCCCCAGTTAACAGGTGCTGCTCTGAAACCTTCTAGGGCTGCCCTGTGCCCTTGGAATGACTCCATGGAGTGTCTGACTAGAACCTGTGTGGTGAGTACTTTCCCGCCCACTCTGCCACTGCAGGGAGGTTCTACCTTGAATCTACCTGGAATCCTTCTTGCTTCCAGAGGCCACCAAAGCTGAAGGCATGGGGTGGGGGGTGGAGACACTAGCAAAGGGCACTTCCCACCTTTTTCCTGTCTCCTTTCTGGTTCCCCAAGGCCACCAAGCTCCTCACCACCCTGCACCCCAAGTTCTGTGCAGACCCTCCCATTCTCCTGCTCAGAGACCAGCCTGACTCCCTAGTACCCCTCACCTGGCTGTGTGACCTCAGGCTGGCCACATGCCCTCTCTGGGACTCTCTGCAGGGTAGTAAGGAACACAGACCCTCACCAGACTCAGGGTCCCAGTGCCTCCCTCTGCTGTGGCACAGGCGGGGGTCTGTCCCCCAGTTCTGTAGGACGGGCTCCTGCCGGCTGGCCGCCCCAGGATCCCGCTGTGGGGCTGATGTCCCCGGGGGGGATCGGGTGACCACACAGCAGCCGGGCTGCGCCTGCCTGGTCCGGTTACCAGCTCCTGGCTCCACTTACAGCTGCTGCAGCCTCCAGCTGCCTGACTCCCTCCTCCGCAGCTGACCCGCTGTCTAGGAACTGGGCTCAGGTGTGGGAGAGGGACTCGGCTTTGGCCTGACACTCTTTCCCAACTCCTCAGGTGCTGGAGCACCAGTTTCCCCAAGTCTAACATTCATCCCCATTCAGTTACCAAAGAGTGTACACAGGTGGTGCATAATTGGTGCTTAATTTGTTGTGTGGATGGCTCTGTAGGCTCAGGTTAGACTTTTCTCCTCTCTGAGCTTGGTTCCTCCTCTGGGAAACAGGGACAATTAATTGGCTCCATCGGAACATCAGAAGAAGAGGCCGGTCTGTCCCAGTGGACACTGCTCTGTCCCCATGCCTAACATGAGACTGTCATATAGTAGTCACTCAATAAATGCCAGATGATCAAACATGTTAGGGGCTTTGCACTACAGCTGGTATACAGTAGGTGTTCAATAAATGCTGTGCACAGCACTCGGTAACACAAAGCCTCACCAAGAAGAGAGACACAGGAGGGAAGCTGTCCCTCCTGTGCCCACTGGGGGCGCCGGGAGGGTGAGACCAGGTGGCAGGAGGGGGATCTTGAGTGGGGACGGCAAGGGGTCCCCAGGGCTCCAGCACAGATGGGGAGAACCGTACATAATTAATTTTAATCACTGTTTGGAAATTGGTAGCAACTTGTAATTAGCGACTGGGGGGGGCGCCCTGTAGCCACTGTCTCAAAGAACTTAGGGTGTCATTTACACTTGGGGTGACTAGGGGTGGGAGTCTGAGGGAATCTGGGAAGGGGGAGCAGGTACCCCAAGTTCCCTGATACCTCGGCCCAGGGAACCAGAAACAAGGCCTGAAAGTGGGGGACACCCCTGAGACATGCAGGGTGAGAGGCAGTTGGGGGGCCTTTGCCAAGGCCAGCTGGGAACAGGAAGTGCCCCCCCGTGACAAAGGTGGTAAATGGGTCCCAAGGGGAGAGGAAGGCCCTGGGGTCAGAGTGTTCCACAAGTGCAATGTGAGTCAAGGAGGGAATGGGGAATGGCGTGGGCTGGGGACTGAGGGTGAGAACCACCCAGAGTTCGAGTAGCAGGGACCCCTGACTGGCAGGGTGACCTTGGGGGATGTGTCACCCTGATTTCCTCCCAGCATCAGGATCAGGAGCTTTGAAGGATCCACAACAGACACTCATGAAGCACCTGCTGTGTTCCCAGCCCACATTTATAGAACACCTACTGTGTTCTTAGTACACTCTTCATAATCTATTCTTAGCCTACACCATGGAGTGCCTACTGTATTCTTATTTTACATATGGAGCACCTACTACGTTACCAGCACACATTTATGGAGCACCTACTGCATTCAGAGGCCTGTGGTAGGGCTTCATAGGATGCACACACCTCGTGGGGTAGAGAGGCCGTTCTGACTTTTATGGGTGAGAAAAGTGAGCCCAAGGTGAGCAAATGGTGAGCGGAAAGGGTGAGCTAAGAGGGCCAAGGGCGTGTGAACCAGGCCATGAGGCCCAGATGCCTCGCCTCACTCTACTCTTCCACCTGCCCGGCCTCTACCCCCACCCACCTAGACTTCATCTTGGTCCCCAGCTCCTGCCCTCTCCCCGCAGCAGCCAGGGGCTCCAGTGGGAGTTGAGTCAACTCCTTCACACAGCCCTCCATGGCTCCCTCCTCCCTCAGGGTCAAAGCCCAAGTCCTCCCTGCAGCCCACAGGGCCCTGCCTGCTCTGCCCCAGCCTCCCTCCTCTGCTTGCGATGCTGCTGCCCTAGAGCTTTCCACCAACTGCTCTATCTCAGCTTATGCATCTCAGCTCCAATCCCTCCCAACACCCTCAGCTAACACAGTCCTGCTCTGTCTAGCTACATCATTGTCATTACTATCTTCAGCATATTTAAACCATTTGAGGGTTTTTTTTGGGGGAACTCCTTCACACAGCCCTCCATGGCTCCCTCCTCCCTCAGGGTCAAAGCCCAAGTCCTCCCTGCAGCCCACAGGGCCCTGCCTGCTCTGCCCCAGCCTCCCTCCTCTGCTTGCGATGCTGCTGCCCTAGAGCTTTCCACCAACTGCTCTATCTCAGCTTATGCATCTCAGCTCCAATCCCTCCCAACACCCTCAGCTAACACAGTCCTGCTCTGTCTAGCTACATCATTGTCATTACTATCTTCAGCATATTTAAACCATTTGAGGGTTTTTTTGGGGGGGGGTCTTTTTGAAACAGGGTCTCCCTGTAGCCCCAGCTGTCCTGGAATTCACTATGTAGACCAGGCTGGCCTTGAACTCACAGAGATCCGCCTGCCTCTGCCTCCCATGTGCTGGGATCAAAGGCGTGGGCCACAGTGCCTGGCTATTATTTCTATTTTATGTTGTGTGTTTTACCTGCACGTGTGTAAGTGCACAGCCCAGGCCCTCTGAGAGAGCAGCTGGTGCTCAGCCACTAAGCCAGCTCTCGTCCCTAAAGTGTTTGATTTTGAGATGAGTGGGGTCCAAGCTGCCATGGTCATTGGCTCCCTTTTTGCAGATAGGGAAACTGAGGCTCCAAGAGGGAGGATGTGTGACTGAAGGGATGAACTGAAAGTCCAGATCTGCTCCAAGCGCCCCAGCTCTCTCTACCACCTGTTCTACAATATCAGAAAACACGTGGCCGCCTGGCAGACTCCTCCGTGTGCCGTGCAGCCCCCGCTGTGAGGCCCTTCCTCCGGCACCTCCTCTGATCCACAGTCCAACTTTCCCTGGCCTCAGTTGCTCCTTTCACTCCAGCCCAGACTGCACACAGTGTAATGAGCCAGCATCTGTCTCAGTTTACCCTCACGCTTGCTCTCTGGGCTCTCTTGGCACCAGGGTCACAGAGAATGCTTGACTGACTGACCTCCCTGACCACCCTGACCCAAGGTCCCCCTGGGAAACCCTCAGTCAGGGTTCCCAAAAGTACTGGGGATGGTCCCTCTTAGCTAAAGTCACGCAGGCAGAGTGGCCACAGTCCAAGGTAGT